GTTTGTCTTTCGAGAGAGCCTCAGTCCACCTTGTGCCACCATTACCCTCCGGGATGTTTACTGGTACCTCCGGGTTGCCAGCGGTGCGCAAGCCTGAACTACCCGCCTACAGGAGGGTTCGTCATTATTACCTTTCTGTCGGGGTGTGACCGGTGACTTGAGCAGGATCCTCTCCCGCGCCTTCGTGCTTCTGTCCGCGTTGGTCAGCACTCAGTGCCTATCATTCTCACACGCGAAGGTCGCTACTCTGGGGAGGGGTAATGCGTCACGGCCAGTCGACACTCGTTAGCTCTCATGAATGTTGCATGATCGAGCTGCTCTCTCTCACCCTTCGACGATATCCAGTACTACGATATCGGTCGGTACTCCTTCTCCTAGCATACTGCTGAGTCGAGCATTGATGACTTCCGAACAATCAGTGCATCTATAAGATTGGCGGCTACCTGAAGTCCAATCCCTACTTGGTCAGTCAGTTTGAACAATGCCTTTCGTCTCCGCTCTTCGGTACTTTGTAGGTAGGTCATGTCGCGCCCCCGGAGTGTTCCATCTCCGAGATGGAAGTGGGAAAGTTGCGAAACGTGCTTTACTTCGCTCCGCCGTGCCATAGCTAAAGAGCGAGGTCACGCCGAGCTCTCATGACAAAACTTTGTTGATCCCTTTCTTGTTCACTCTGCTGTGAACGTGTCATCAGTCGTCACCAATACTACTAGCCTAGCCTACCTTACACCATCTTACGAAGACTTGAGTTGTTAGCAGAGAACAAGAACACCCTCAACAGAGTTAACAAACAGTGTAGATGGCAGCGTTATGATCTTGATTATCACCTTTACGTATAATTCATAATAATGACTCATGATAATGATGATGATGATGATGAACAAGAAGAGCATAAGGATGTATGCTCAACAACTACAACAGAGATGGGTTATAGAATGGATGATAATATAAAAAGATATCATCCTAGAGTGTATTATAATAATAAGATGTATTGTTATATACCTATAGTCGTTAGATACTCTGATGATGAAGTGGTCGCCGCCGATCATCTTGCTAGTTGTATTATGACTCCAATAGAGATGGATGTATGGGCATCTATTAAAAATATTAAAGATCCTGAATATCCTATGTGGACATTATCACAATTAAGAATTTGTTATCCCACAGGTAGTAGTATGATGCTATATATACTTTTCATCATAATCATTAGTAGGTGTATGCGTGAAAGATGATACTATGATGATCGAATTTACACCAACTGTAGAACATTGTTCTCTAGCTACCTTGATTGGTTTATGTAATAATAATATTGTTGGATTATTATTATGTAAGTCTGTGGATGCGTCGTATTAGCAGGTATTAGGAGTAAGTTACTCAATGATTTCGGTAAT